AAACCCAGACCCAGGTGGAAGGGCAAACACACCCTCCAGAAACACCCACAAAAGGACTCCAGCCACGACATCCCCAATGCAACTGAAAAATCTAAACCAAAACCAACACACTGTTCCTTCTGTCCCCACCCCCACACCACAACCCCACCCATACAGCAGCCCCCTATGGGCACTCTGCCCCCACCCCTCTCATCACCAACCCCACCCATACTGCAACCCCCTATAGGCCCCCTCCAGGGCTCCCGCTCCCCCTACCCCAATATTCTCCCAGGACTACAGTGTTAGAAAAAAAAACTGAAGGTTTGGTACACGAACGCAAATGGAATAACGAATAAATACGAGGAGTGGTATGAAAGAATCAAGGAGAAGTCCCCAGACATCATAGCAGTCACAGAAACGAAACTCACTGAGACAATAACAGATGAAACCTTCCCACCAGGATATCAGATCCTCAGGAAAGATAGAAGGAGCAGAGGGGGGGAGGGGTTGCACTGATCATAAAAAACCGATGGGGACTTGAGGAAATGGAAGGAATGGACGAGAATTTAGAGAGGGACTACATAGTAGGTACAATTCAGTCTGGGGAACATAAGGTAATCATTGGAATGATGTATAACCCACCACAGATCTGCAGTAGGCCAAGAGAGGCATATGAAGAGAACAACAGAGCGATGGCGGACACACTGGCTGAGGTGGCAAGAAGAGCTCACTAGAGCAGAGTAAAGTTACTGGTTTTGGGCGATTTCAACCACAGGGAGCCACATGGGGGTCCTGAAACATGGAGAGCCAAGAGGATGGATGTGGTACTGGAAAACCTCATGCATCAACATGGCAGGGACACTGCCAGAGAGAGAGGGGAGGTTGAACCAGCAAGACTGGACCTTGTGTTCACCCTGAGCAGTTCAGACATTGAGCACATTACATATGAGAGGCCCCTTGGAGCTAGTGATCACGTGGTTCTGAGCTGTGATTACATAGTAGAGTTACAAGTGGAGAGGGTAATAGGAGTTGAATGGGAAAAGCCAAACTATATAAGGGGGGGGAATACAGAGGCATGAGGAACTTCCTGCAGAAGGTTCAGTGGGACAGAGAATTGGTAGGAAAGTCAGCAAACGAAATGATGGAATATGTAACAACAAAATGCAAGGAGGCAGAAGAAAAGTTTGTTCCCAAGGGCAACAGAAATAATGGGAAGATCAAAGCGAGTCCTTGTTTTGCCCGAAGGTGTAGGGAGGCAAACACTAAGTGCACTAGAGAATGGAAAAGGTACAGAAGGCAAAGGACCCAAGAAAATAAGGAGATTAGTTGAAGAGCCTGAAACGAGTATGCACAGATGAGGAGGGAGGCCCAGCGACAGTACGAAAACGACATAGCATCGAAAGTCAAGTCTTACCTGAAATGGCTGTATAGCCACATTAGGAGGAAGACAACAGTTAAAGACCAAGTGATCAGACTGAGGAAAGAAGGTGGGGAACTCACAAGAAATGATCAAGAGGTATGTGAGGAGCTCAACACAAGATTTAAGGAAGTATTTACAGTGGAAACAGGAAGTACTCTGGGAAGACAGAACAGAGGGGGACACCAACAACGAATATACCAACAAGTGTTGGATGACATATACACAACTGAGGAGGAGGTGAAGAACCTACTAAGTGACCTTGATACCTCAAAGGCAATGGGATCGGACATCTCCCCGTGGGTCCTTAGAGAGAGAGCAGAAACGCTGTGTGTGCCATTAACAACAATCATCAACACATACCTTGAAACTGGACAACTACCTGAGGTATGGAAGACGGCAAATGTAGTTCCCATTTTTAAAAAAGGAGACAGAAAAGAGGCACTGAACTATTGCCCAGTGTCACTGACGTGTATAGTATGCAAAGCCATGGAGAAGATTATCAGGAGAAGAGCGGTGGAGCACCTGGAACGGAACAAGAGTATAAACGACAACCAGCACGGATCCATGGAAGGCAAATCCTGTGTCACAAACCTTCTGGAGTTTCATGATAAAGTAACAGAAGTAGACATGAGAGAGAGGGGTGGGTTGATTGCATTTTCTTGGACTGCAAGAAGGCCTTCGACACAGTTCCTCAAAAGATTAGTGCAGAAGCTGAAGGATCAGGCGCATATAACAGGAAGGGCACTGCAGTGGATCAGAGAATACCTGACAGGGAGGCAACAACGAGTCATGGTATGTGATGAGGTATCACAGTGGGCACCTGTGACGAGCGGGGTCCCACAGGGGTCAGTCCTAGGACCAGTGCTATTTTTGGTATATGTGAATGAAATGATGGAAGCGATAGACTCAGAAGTGTCCCTGTTCGCAGATGATATGAAGTTAATGAGGAGAATTAAATCAGATGAGGATCAGGCAAGACTTCAAAGAGACCTCGACAGGCTGGACACCTGGTCCAGCAACTTGCTGCTCGAATTTGACCCCGCCAAATGCAAAGTCATGAAGATCGGGAAAGGGCACAGAAGACTGCTGACAGAGAATAGGCTCGGTGGCCAAAGACTGCAAACCTCATCAAGGAAAAAGATCTTGGGGTGAGTATAACACCGAACACGTCTCCGGAAGCACACATCAACCAGATAACTGCTGCAGTATATAGGCGCCTGGCAAACCTGAGAATAGCGTTCCGATACTTTAGTAAGGAATCGTTCAAAACACTGAACACCGTGTACGTCAGGCCCATGCTGGAGTATGCAGCACCAATTTAGAACCCACACCGGGTCAAGCGTAAGGTTAGTTCCAGAGCTATGGGGAATGACTTATGAAGAAAGGTTAAGGGAAATCGGCCTGACGACACTGGAGGACAGGAGGGTCAGGGGAGGCATGATAACGACATTCAAAATACTGCGTGGAATAGACAAGGTGGACAGAGACAGGATGTTCCAGAGAGGGGACACAGAAACAAGGGGTCACACTTGGAAGTTGGAGACTCAGATGATTCAGAGGAATGTTAGGAAATATTTCTTCAGTCATAGAGTAGTCAGGAAGTGGAATAGTCTGGCAAGTGAGGTGGTGGATGCAGAAACCATACATAGCTTTTAGATAAGGTATGATAATGCTCATGGAGCAGGGAGTGAAATAGAGGACCTAGTAGCCTTCAGTGAAGAGGCGGGGCCAGGAGCTGAGTCTCGACCCCTGCAACCACAATTAGGTGAGTACACATCCACGTCTCTCTTATTGAACGAGTATGTTCATGTTCAGATTACTCTAACTTAAGTTCATCAAATTCTTAAGTGACGGGAAGCCTTACATTTACGCAGGCTTCAGATTTACTATTTATTGGTCATTTATCTTCCTTGAACATTTGTGACATTTCAGACGAAATTTGTTCATTAATTGTAACCGATTACCTTATCTTCTCTTGCTTGTTGTAACCGATTACCTTATCTTCTCTTGCCTGTTGTAACCGATTACCTTATCTTCTCTTGCTTGTTGTAACCGATTACCTTATCTTCTCTTGCTTCATGTTCTTACGTTACATCAGTCATTTAGGATCTTTGATATTAATTATATGATTCTCTGTGGTAAATTAGACTTATGTGCAAAACACTTGGGTATTTTTATTAAGGAAACGTTTCGCCACACAGTGGCTTCATCAGTCCTATACAAAGATGAATTTTGGAGATCAGAAGGAATTTAATGTAATCAGTCCCTCAGGCTGGAGTCGATGTAACCAGTCCATCAGTCTTGAATTGACTGATGGACTGATAACATCAACTCCGGGCTGAGGGACTGATTACCTCAAACTCCTTCTGATCTTCACCATTCTTCTTTGTATGGACTGATGAAGTCACTGTGTGGCGAAACGTTTCCACAATAAAGATACCCAAGTGTTGCATATATGTCTAATTTATCAACTTGTCGCTTATATGAACAATTTATCTACACGATTCTCTGTACCTATGAAATTAAGAACATAAAAAATAATATTAATTTCAGTCCTCTAAATGAGAATGTCGAGTCACAATGAATGTTTCTTCTAAATTTTGATAAACATTTGAGGAAGATAACTGACCAATTAGACTTGATTAATCGGCTTTAAGCTTGATTAATTTAAGTTCACCTAACATATATAGCGCATTTAGAGAAATTATATTAAGCATATAGAATAAAAAACCACGCTGTCTGTAGGACGAGATTCAAACTGAGAATCTCTGTGTTAACAACGCTGTTTGAAGAGAGATAAATTGACTAATGAGAGAGTGTTTAACAGCTCTGAAACATACTTCTCTTTATTCTCTGTGTCATATTCTTCGTCATCATCACCCTATGTGTGTCCTCCTCACATCACCAATTCACTTATCTTCCTTCTCAGTGTCATTAGTGTGATATTACTCATCATCCCCTGCGTCATCCTCCTTTCCTCCCGAGTCATCTTCCTTTCCACCTCTCATGTCGTTGTCCTGTGTCATATTCCTCCACTTCACCAAGAGTGCACAAAGAGCATGCATAACCACCTTTAGCAACCACTAACACTAACAAACACCAATCATGAAAATAAGCTAATTATAATCACCACTATCACTATCTACAAATCATACCACGGGTGGGGATAGAACCCGCCATCAGAGAGTCTCAAAACTCCAGACCGTCGTTCTATCCCCGCTCGTGCTATGGTTTGTTTGTAATCGTGTCATTACGATTTCGTGAGTCATATCACTATCTACCACTAGCACCAACTAACAACCACCTTCAGCAACCATTAACCACACGTACAGGTAAGGGTACCACGAACTGGCAAGATACTGGCAAGTGCGTGGGTTAGTACCAAGGATTTACTAAAGCCATGCTTGATCACCAGTAACTACAATTAACAGTAACTATCACTAACGACCAGAAATGACTACCAACACAGCAAAAATGACTACTCACACAGGTACAGGCTGCAGTATTATGAACTGTCGTTTGTGGCAGACGCCACCACTAACTACTGTAAATGCCGCTATCAGCCACCACTAATTACTCTTAACAATTTCTAACCACACAGGTACAGACTGGAGCACTACGAACTGTCGTGTGCGGCAGATACCATGACTGGGAGGTGTGCAGGTCAGCACCAAGAGTGCACTAAGGCTATGCTGGGACTCCTGGGCACTGACCTCCACACCAATTGTGTGTGTAAGGGCAGCGCCTTCCAAGACATTAACCAGTGTCTTGCCTGGAAGCGTCTCCTCTGGGGCAACCCTTGTGTAGGTCAGTATTAACCATTGTTATTGACTGTTCTTGAAGAACATTAAATCTTCATCTAGCTTCTTGTGCAGGTCAGTAATAACTATTGTTATTGACTGTTCAAGAAGAACGTCAACTAGGTCTTCACTTAGCTTCTTGTATAGGTCAGTAATAACCATTGTTATTGATTGTTCTTGAAGAACATCAACTAGTCTTCACCTAGCTTCTCGTGTAGGTCATTATTAACCATTGTTATTTTTTGCAAAAACAAAGAAACAACATCACAGATTTTGTAAAACAAGCTTACCTTATTTATTTTGGAGTGGCGCTTGGAGAACAAGACAAGTCTTGGGCTCCTCATATAGTTTGCAAAACCTGTGTAGAATGCTTACGACAGTAGAAAAATAGGCAAGAAAAAGTTTAAATTTCGGTGTGCCTATGGTGTAGATAGAGTCGAAAAACCACCACGACGATTGTTATTTCTGTGTGGTGAATGTGAAAGGTTACAATCGATACAAGAAAGTCAAGTGGGAATGTTCTAATTTGGAGTCAGCAAGGAGACCTGTGCCACACAGTGAAGACGTTCCCATACCAGTGTTTACAACACTACCTAACCTTCCGTTGTCAGATGTTGAAGAAACTCAGGGTTTAGGATGTACCACAGGTGATAACAGTGGAAGTTAATATGAAGTTAGCATTTCAATACCCCAGCAGTTCTTCCAAGAACAACTCAATGATCTGATGCTTGACTTCAATCTGTCGAAGCAAGCATCTGAACTTTTAGTATCCAGACTACAAGAAAAGAACTATCTACAACAAGAAGTTAAAATAACAGCTTATAGGACAAGAAAGGTTGAACTCCTTCCTTACTTCACCAAGATCAAGAACTTCTATATTTTAATAACATCCTTGGACTTCTTCTTCGAATGGAACTTGAATATCGATCAGGAGATTGGCCGCTGTTTATAGACAGCTCCATAAGAAGCTTGAAATGTGTCTTATTGAACAATGGTAGCCAATATGCATCTCTTCCAATTCCTCATTCAACAAAACTGTGCTGATGACCAACATAGAAGAAAATCGTACAAAGAACGTTTTAATATGCAGTAATTAGTGATATCTGCATTATCTTATTATGTTAATCTTTTATTATACAGAATGAAGTGCTAGTGTGTGTATAACATGATCTGACTTTTGTATGATCTAAAAAATAATTTCAGTGCGATTTGTATGTTAGCCCCGTCTGATAAATATATTTTTCAAATCGTTTATGTTTTCAATTGGATGTCAAATTTATCAAAAACTAGAACCAATCAAGCACCACAAACGTACCCTAAAATCGGTGTAATATCATTTACCAGAAAATAAATGTTGACCAGTGAATTATCATTATTATTATTATTATTACAGTACTATTATATTAAGAAGCAAACACTAAACTCCTAGAAGTCACGCAACACTGCAGTGGAAGGGTTTGTATATTGTTGGACGAAAAAGAAGCGGAAGGTTTTTGTGAGTGCGAAATGAGAGCCATAGTAGGTTCAACAGGTTAATTACAGTTCAAAAGTCGCAGAGTCCGCATTGAGCTTGGACTTTAGGATAGGAAGTGAAATCTAGCAGTCCATACTTAGGGCACCAGCCATCTCTCAAGAAAGCGTCAGTGTATGAGGCCAGGAACCCAGTTGAGGTTAGTCGCTAACCCAGATCAACTCTTCTTTTATTGGTCTCGAAGCTGGAAGATCGGTAGGTCATGAGCACCAGGACATGCATTTTGAGTCTGCGAGTAAATTTTCCTGAGCAGTAGAATGTCCAAGACCCCGACAGAAAACGACTTACTTGTGTCTGGAAATGCGACACAACCGCTGTTGTTAGCGTAGAACGATGGGATGGGGAAAGTAATCTTTTTTGATTGCTTGCAGTGCGCTTAGAGAGTTTGAAACAACAATGGATGAGATGAAGAGGTAACCAAATGCACGACGGCAGCCAGTAGAGAGTATAGTTCTACTGTGATAGTATTGGAGCCCAGTAAATGGCCTTGGATTACTCTATTTGGCAACTTGGCCGCATACCCAACTACATTTAAGGATTGGACACCATCAGTTTATACAGCGAATACGAATGCGAATACGAACGAAAGTGTTCATGATGAAACGCAAACAAATTCGTTGCAGGTGTGTGGGCTTGAACATGGAGTGAGGAACAAACCTGAATCGTCGGAACTTTCCAAGAAAGAAAGGAAAAAAATATGAAGAGTAAAGCAAAGGAAGCAGAGTAATTGAGATGTTATCAGCATTCAAACACGAGAGTTAAAAGGTCGTAGCTAATGGAGGTAATTATTAAATGAACTGATCATGCTAATCTCAGAAATTCTGAATGTGAAAGGATCTTTAACGAAATAAAATAGTGAAGGCAAAGGTCATCGCGTCGATCGTTTATAAAAAGGACGTTGATTATGTACACAAGCTTTTGACTACATGACTTGAGCATAGTCTTCACACACGGGCAAGGCGGATATGACCTCGAACTTTGATGACAGTGAATCATTGAATTTTGAGTTGCACACCCGACTCTCTGAAGAACATCCCATCAAATGTGGGTGAGCAATGGTTCCACATCTCAAAGTCAGGAAAGTTTCGGTGTAGTGTGGTAGATTGTTGTTAATGGTGCGGATATGCGATAGCTTGGTGGCCTGGTCAGCGTCATTTACGCTGACAATGTGCATTCCACTCTTCAAATCAGACCAGGAGAACAGATGTCTTGGCCGATGGAAGTCAGGAGTTCGTGACCACTTTGGTGGTTCGTAGGGCACTCATCAGGATTTACTGGCTGGTGTGAGAAGAATTCCGTTCATTTTCTTGAAGGCTCCTTGCAGGGGGCTCAGATGTTTCCAGGTGGTATTTTTTTTTTTTTAGAATTTGAGTGAAGTCACTTACAGGGCCGCGGGGCACTAATCCCCGAAACCCTCTCCAGAATACTCCAGATATAAGTAGAGTGTAGGTTGTTTATAATAATAGCTTCTGCTGAAATAACGTTTTGCCTTCTAAAGTGTGTGTATAGCGCAGGAGGCTCGATCCTCAGATATCTCAGACGGATGTACAGAGCTTCAGAACTCGGCTGCGACAACAACATCGACTCTAACTCTGTGTAAATGGGAAGTGGAGGAAAAGAGAGGGGAAAAAGGAAGGAGAGACAGAGGGCAAAAATAGAAGGAAAATAGATACGGTGCCCTTCTCCAAGACACCATTGCACTGTCGTGTTACTCAAGGTGTTTATGAAGTCTCTGTCTGTTTCGGGGAAATATCGACTATCTGTGGGAAATTCGTTTATAAAACGACAGAAGATATACATTTATTGAATACCTAAGATCGATATTATACATGTGTGTCCTCAGTATCTCCGCGGAGTACAAATCTTTCTGCGGCATTTCTGAACACATCCTGGAGCATCTAATAAGTTTATTTAGTCACAGGTACACATAACTACAATTATCATAAACTGTGTAAATTACCTAGGGTAACCCAAAAATATCAGACGTCTGATTTAATAAAACCCCATACAAATAAACCTAGAGTGTTAGACCAAGTGATCGAGCCGGACATTGAGATGCACTCACACTGCACCTCGCTGAAGAAAACCGTCTTCATGCAAATCATATAAAAACCTGAAGGTGATAACGGTTCCTTCTTAAATGTGATACAAAATATAGTGGACAGGTCAACTGGGCAGCTGGAGTCTTATGTGATGCGGAACGAATCGACATCCGTGAACCGTCCATGATGGTATTTCGTACTGCATTTACAACATGCTGTAAGACATATGGACCTCCAGTTCTTGGCTAATAATTAATAAAATCAGTTATTTTGAATTTATTCAATAATTCGCGCATTGTTTGTCTGTACGACCTACCTTACGAATTTGCTTTCAAACTTCTCTCCAATTTCCTTAAATTTCCTTCCCTCAATAAGCAACATAGGAACAATTACCACCGTTCTTCAACATTCATCTTCATGATGCTCTTCGATTTAAAAGTAAATAAACACGCTTTTTCACTAAGATTAGGACTTGGTAAACGCCCTGTATTTTATCTTAGTGTATCAAATATTCTTACCCCAGAAAATGTTTTATATACATTATTTCTTCTAATTTTGGAGACGCTACTCGCATAAAACACTTTACATCCGTCACAACAAAACATTCGTGGTTGTTTCTTGCCAGACTGGGATGGCTGACGTCTGGCCGTGTAGGAAGGAGTCTTATAACTGTGTATTGAATGTATGGCTTTTAAGACTGTGTTGAGAGTGTGAGTGAGGGAATGCACAGAGAGAAGAGAGAGAGAGAGAGAGAGAGAGAGAGAGAGAGAGAGAGAGAGAGAGAGTGTGTGTGTGTGTGTGTGTGTGTGTTGTGTGTGTGTGTGTGTGTGTGTGTGTGTGTGTGTGTGTGTGTGTGTGTGTGTGTGTGTGTCTGTGTGTCTGTGTTAAGTCTCAGGGTAGAAGGCTTGGACGATAACTTCTGCAACACAAACTCGCCTAACTTTTTAAAAGCCTTGTCTTACCTCCATTTATTGTCTAGGTTGGCTTTTGTTTTAAGATTTCCATTTTCTTGCTTCACCCCCAATCCTTATCTCTGTCCCAACATACCATCATTTCCAACCTGTCTTTTATTTATTTTTTTAGTTTCTGTTCTTCGTGACAGGCCCACTTCCTCCCCCCTCCTCCCCCCCCCCCAAAAAAAAAGTTACTCAACTCCAGGTTCTAATTTGATTATTGATATGGATACATTCCTGTAAGATGCCAAAATAAATCGAAAGATTTACATATTTAGTGACCCTGACGCAGTGGTAACGTGTTTGCCACACTCGTTGTGGAACCAGTGTTAGAGGCTTCTAGTGTTGTTACACTGGCATCACTAATGTATATATATATATATATATATATATATATATATATATATATATATATATATATATATTATACACAGTAAAGCTTATTGGTCAAAATTTCCCAAGAAAGTGTTCGGACGCTTAATTTCATCCATGCTGATGTTTGGAAGAGCAATAGTGGGATTGATTTGGTAATCACCAATGAGGACTTATATTGTGTTAAGATAACCAGTGAGTTGTCTATGTTCATCGCAGTGCTCGATGTCATCCTCGCTGCTCTTCAGTTCGCCAGCCACAGCAAGTGTTATGTTCCCCTCTAAGCGTATTCAGCTGTGTTCTTGTGGCTGTGGTGCAGTGAGACACGGTTCACACCATGGTTCAGAAGTTGCTGAAGTAGCTCACGTCTGATTGCCTGAAATAAGGCCACGTAGTTCTGTTGCTACTTTAGTCCCCAGATAATGAGATAATAAACGTGCGTAGTTTGAAATCAAGACTGCTTTATAAAGCACGTTCAGTAGTAGACTTCTCTCTCACAGTGGGAAGTGGTGGACTCACTGGGTCCAACAGATTAGTAGAAGGTTATACAGGACTTGACAAGACTTATGTGTTTGACCTGGCCCTCTCATTTTTTCTAAAAAATAATCGTAACTCTCATATGAATATGACCAACGGACTTATTTGAACATGACTCAGACTGCAGTTGGCAGGAGGATCGAGTATCCAAAAATTTCTTGCACTGAATGACCCAAAAGAGTTTAGTGTTTATAAAATACTATCTAGACTATATTATGCGGATTGGTACAAAAGATTAGAGGATATATTAATTGTACAAGGAGGTGATTAGCATAGCATACAACGTAAACGTACTAAATTCCTTCAGGTATGCGGGGGTGTTCTTTTCCCATGAACCGAGGGGTTAGGAGTGGGCGGGGGGTCTCCGAACCTTCGGGAACCAGCATATAGTGATGAACAGCTCACTCTATTTTCTAAACTTTTTGCACTCCGTGAAGCTAGCAGATACACCTTCATTCCTGCTGTACTAAAGATAGGTGTCAGCCAGTGTGGATGCGCATGTGTAGTCCAACACCACCTGTCTGCCATCTGTCCAAGTTTGCAAGGTATTTCCATCCGGACGCTCGAATCTGCCTTTGAATCTACATAGCTGGGGCGGTTCCGGCTCCCATGTTGCTGCGCATCCAGCTGTTGCAAGGCTTTCCTTGACTATGATAACTTCATCATGCCTTGCGATCATTCCCTCAGACCTACGGCAAACGACACCATGGTACCTGAATCGGTTTGCCTATTTGTATGAATCATCTGTGCCTAAAGAGGAATTGGGGATGACTAATTGAAAATCTCCTGCACATTGAACTCTGTCAGAAGATAAACTCTGTCCTTTCCCAACACACACACAAACAGTGATGAAGTTATATTCTCCATTACTGGGCCATTCCAGTGCGACTGTTTGGAGTTCTTAGGAAAAACTGGATGGGTTGAAGAGTCTGATGGCCCATCCTAGAGCCTTGCTCCATTAACAAACATTGGGTCGTGAACCCCAACATTGTCCCTCATATGTTCGGGTAGAATCGCTGCAAGTTCTCTGGATGCCACAAACAAAGACAGGAATGTGAGGAGTGCTACGTATGATGCCTTCCAGACACTTCTGAAACCTAGTTCGACTGACAATCTACGCTGGTCCTACTACCCCTACTACACATCTAGAATCTAGAGTAAGGTTAATATTGACCTAAGGAGACTGTCATACTTCTTCAGTTTTGGATTGTCACTTGAGGATTCACATCTTATTAAATATGTCAAGCAATTCGTGGGATGGTACAAAGCATCATGGGCATCTAGATGGCCATGATTTGCACTCGATAATTATGTCTGTGGCATTAGTGTCTAGAGGGGCTGCAAGCAGAATGCTAACCGTGGCGGCAATGATGATGTACCTGGAAGTATAGAGTTCACTGCATCAAATGTTTGTTGCTTGGCTGAAATGATTTCACATTTACATGTAATAATGATGAGCCTCATGGCCTGTCCCTATGTAATCACCTAATTAAGATCCGCTCGAAGGGATTCCTTTTTGTATGCCAGTGTACCATCATCCAGGAACCAGATGTTTAGTTAACAAGTCCTGCTGATAATGAGTTCTCTAACTGCTGTGCAGAAGCGAAACAGGGCTAGACGATCCCTTTTGCTGATCTCCCTCCGATTTCATGCTCCCCAAACAGAAGTGTCGACTGTTTCTTGAACCCTGCTGAAACGAAAGGAAAGAAACAGGGAAAAATGTGTTAATATCACCTATCTTTCCAGTAGATTAAATGAGTTTTAAAAATCTAGTTTTAAAGCAACACTATCTTCATGTAAATTAATAACATAGTCCCTTGCCACATTAACTGCTGTTTCCCTGCCTTGAGAAACACCATAGCCAAGCTGGTTCATCTGAAGCAGAATGGCCGTCGCTGTGGGAACACTTCTGACAATTACTTTAGCAACAAGGCGGCGAAGACGATTACTCACAGTAATGAGCCTAATTCTTCCAGCTCTCTTTTTCATAACACAATAGGATGCACCAAAGATAAATCAGACCATCCAGAAAGTTGTTGACGAATCTTGCGATCTTTGATAGAAGCGTGTAATAGAGTGAGAAATAGAGCACATGTACCTCACCCTCGGCCACCTGTCAGTGAATGCTCCAGTCCCTCTGACCTGTGTCACTGACACTGCTACATATTTTAATTTTCTGTCGTTGGTTTCATCCTTTTTCTACTCTATTGCTATAACTACAGGTGGGTCGGTAGGGGCAGCCCATCCATAAAGGCGACACAGCCGCTCGCCTAGGAAACCAACTTGAATGGGATGCCAAAATAGGAGTAAATCCTAGTTTATACAATTAATGTAAAAATGAATAAGATGAAAATTTTTAAAAACATAGCGAGAAATTAAGCAGCTGTTAAACAGAGAAACCCTTAAAAAAAGCATTATAAGCTAAAAAAAAAAAAAGCAAGGCAAAAACGTTTCCCAAATTAGCAAAAACTTCAGCCAAGTTCTGCCTGTGTGGATAATAGATTTAGTTAGGTTTAGCTTACGTTCTGTGGTAAATTTCATATAACTTACTGAAGAATTCTGTCTTGATGTGGGAGAACCTCGCAGATTATCGATACTCCATTCGTTTCACTACTGAAGAACCCGGGTTTAATTTAAGGTAGGGGCGAGATTCATGTGAAGTTCTCATTAAAAGGATCTTTTATTGAATATTATGCTGATATCCGATATCGGCGTCAAGTGTTAACATCTTTGTTTGTGTGTGAGTGACCCAGACTGATGTGTGTTGACAGTGGAGTCGCAGTTGACGTACCACCTGGCGCAGCTGGGGATGGACGCTGATGTTCTGGTGTCTTCCTTTACTGATGATCACCACCAGCAGGTCGACTCCCACCACCAGGGTAAGACATCCACCACCACTATCACCACCACCACCACCAGGGTAAGATAACTCACACCATTATCACCACCACCACCAGGGTAAGACATCCCTCTCCACTATCACCGCCACTACCACTACCAGAGTAAGATATTCACCACCACTATCACCACCACCACCACCACCACCACCACCACCACCAGGGTAAGACATCCACCACCACCACCAGGGTAAGACATCCACCACCACCACCACCACCACCACCACCACCAGGGTAAGACATCCACCGCCACGATCACCACCTCCACCACCAAGGTAAGACATCCCCCTCCACTATTCCCACCATCACCACCAGGGTAAGACATCCACCACCACCACCACCACCAGGGTAAGATATCCACCACTACCAGGGTAAGATATCCACCACCACCAGGGTAAGACATTATCCCCAGCATGACCCCCACCCCCACCATCAGGATAAAACATTCCCGCAACCACGTCCATGGTAATATATCATCCCCCACCACACATATCATAGTAAGACATCCCCACCACCTAAACCATGGTAAGACATCCCCCACCAACACCCCTAGGATAAGACCACCACCACCAGGGCAGACATTCTCCATCCCCAAAACTAGAGGAAGACTACCACTACTATCACCACCACTACAAGCACCACTACCACCAACCACCACCATCACCAACCAACCACCACCATCATCACCAACCACCACAAACCACCACCACCGACATAAATCGAGCACAAGGAAGGAAGGGCTTGACCGACCAGGTAAAAAAAATGTGACTCTATAACGAATGGAGATAATACATTCTTCCTTGGATGTCTGTTAGATAACAAAAGTCAACAATATAGCGCAACTTACACAAAGACAGAAAGACTGTGACAAAATCATAAATACTTCTGCTAAGAGATCCAAAAAAATATTTCTGTATTTGTTAATATGTGAAGTACACCATGAAAACGTAATGGATCCTTGTAACGATCCATAGGTTTCACGTAGATACGAATTGGGGACTTTTGGATGTGGACTCTCATTTTTGCAAACTCCATTTCGAATCTCCGAAAATACCTGTGGAATGATAATATATGAGAAAATATGATAATAATATATGAAAATAGGATAATATTTCTCTCATTTTTAAATTAAATATAGAATGCTCATTGAAAATTTGTGTGATTATACTAATTTGTTAAAAATAAATTTTTTTTTTAACCCAAAGCATCCTGATTTATTTAGAAAATTGGTCTTATTGATGATTTTCAAGGCAATTTTTTTTAAGGTTGGAGAGTGGAGTGAGTGAGTTTCAGTGCATGGTTTATTTTATTTATTTTTTTTTGTTTTTTTTTGCATGTCAGGAGAGAAGGCCCCATCACCTCACTACGCTCTTGGTCGCGGGGACGGCTACAAGAACCACGACAATGGCTACGACCCGCTAGACGACCAGAACGACGCTGACACCGAGCTAGTAAAGGCCACTGACACCCGTCTGCAGGCCAGGAAGGTGGCCAGCACTCCCCAGAGTGATTATACACTTCCCCAGGCTGCCCCTGCTGTGTCCTCTACCACTACCACCACCACTACCACCACCACTGCCTCCACTACCACCACACTGCTTACCACTACCACCACTTCGCCAACCACCACACTTCCGGAGAGTAAGTACCCCTCAACTACTAACGAACGTTTTGCATCACTAAAATTCGTTATTGGAAACTACATCTCAGCTGTCGTTGTGTTCTCATTACTAACCTTCAAAATCATTTTCATAATACACCATCTATCTCTTTTTCTCGCATGTTTAATATTTCTAATATTTTAGAATTTACGTGACCTCTAATCACGAGCAATACAATGCTATCTTCACTCTGTTTACCCCCAATATAGTGTTAATTTGTCAAAATTTTATTTACAATGTTGTCCTGTGCTGTGCGGAATATTGATGGCTGAACCATCTTTACCACTTGAACCTACTTACTGCTTGAACCTACTTACTGCTTGAACCTACTTACTGCTTGAACCTACTTACTGCTTGAACCTACTTACTGCTTGAACCTACTTACTCTCTATTACATAAAAATAAAAGTAATTTTCTGCATAATTTACAAACGATCTGCACAGTTACCTAATTATTTTGTCTGGACTTATGATCAAATTATTCTAAAAGCAAAAAAAAAAAAAAAAAAAAAAAAAAAAAAAAAAAAAAAAAAAAAAAAAAAAAATGCTTGCTTGACAGACTATGTAAGGTTATAGTAAATGAAGTAAAGATTAATAGTTGAGCTCTAGATTATACTTTTAAAGTCACTTGCAACAACGACATTTCTGCGAGAGTGAAAACTTCTGAGTGACACCAGACTTCAGTTAACTCATCTTCAGTAGATGTCACTTTTAGAGTCCACCAATTCACGATTATCAACAATATTCCTTATTTATTAGTATTTTCCTTTAATCACATCTGCCGCTGTCGTCCAAGGCGACCCAAAGAAGGAAACATACGTACCATCACTCATTCAACAGTTGTCATCAGTTGACATCATAATTCAAATGATTTTCAGAACATCAACATCCCCGCCCTTCAGTTAGAGTGTAAGCACTGTGCTTCCCATTTAAAAAAAAAAATCCATTAATCTATTCGTAACTGTTAATTTACTCACACTCCAACAGCACATCAAACCTTTAAAACCACTCGTCAGCATTCACGTCGATATAAAACGTTCACACAAACTTTCTTCATCCCTTCCTTCCAACGCTTTTTGGTAAGACCTCTTTCCCCGACCCTGGATTTATACATCACCTTTCTCATCCGATTCTTTTTCATACTCTCTAAATGACTAAATGAACCACAACAACTCCACGCCGTTTTCTTATTTCTGAATAAAAAAATGAACCCCAAATTAAACAGGTTGGTAAAATTAGCTGGTAAATAGCAAAAGATATTCGGTGTTGATGATCGCATAACACGTATCACAAATTATAAAGAAAGTCGATAACATTTACTAAATGGTATGGTCAGGCATTAAGCCAAATCTCATGCATAAAAACTGCATTAGCCAAAGTGAAACCCATCACTACACCATCAACTTGTGTATAAAACATATTGAAAACAAAAATGAATAGATGATAAACAGTTGAAAACATTTTATAAACGGGGAAAATAACCTGGACGTAAATATGAAAATAATGGTATATGGAACCTTTATTGGCAACGTTTTGCTTACGCGAGATTTATCAAGTCAGAAACACATTAACCTGGTGAAGAATTGAGACACTTACGTAACACATGGGAATCTTTATTGAAGAAACGTTTCGCCACACAGTGGCTTCATCAGTCCAATACAAAGTAGAAATGGGTAAAGAGAGGAGAAGTTTGAGGTAATCAGTCCCTCAACCTAGAATCGATGTGTTCAGTCCATCACTCTTGCAGGAAGTGCAGCATAGGGCCAGAGAGGTGGCTTATATACTGCAGTCAGATGAGGTGAAGCAGGATGAGGCGGGATCACAGTGGGACCTGCCACTAGTGTGAGTAGGTCGTCGTCCAAAGGTTGGGCAAGCGTTGAAGTCTTTGTACCAAGATCCCATGATGTTGCCGTGTCGGTTTTCTAAACCATTCATCACATCTGTCAGACACTGCAACATCATGGGATCTTGGTACAAAGACTTCAACGCTTGCCCAACCTTTGGACGACGACCTACTTACACTAGTGGCAGGTCCCACTGTGATCCCGCCTCCTCCTGCTTCAACTCATCTGACTGCAGTATATAAGCCACCTCTCTGGCCCTATGCTGCATTTCTTACAAGAGTGATGAACTGAACACATCGATTCTAGGTTGAGGGACTGATTACCTCAAACTTCTCCTCTCCTTACCCATTTCTACTTTGTATTGGACTGATGAAGCCACTGTGTGGCGAAACGTTTCTTCAATAAAGGTTCCCATGTGTTGCATGAGTGTCTCAATTCTTCAACTTGTCGGTTTTCTAAACCATTCATCACATTAACCTGGTAAAGATTATTTGTTTGTGAATAGATAAAATTCACAGTATGGCCGAACGTTGTCAATATATGCTCCGTATAACTATTTTTGTCGCCTAATACTCTTTCTGCAGGTAAACTACAGTGTAGCTACTGACATATGTTGCAACATTTGCTTATTTCTGCATTTAGACACAGTAAAAAATGCCATATCAAAACACGCCAATAAACACGAAATAAAAATTTTTCTTTCTCTGCTGCTCCTCCTTTATAAAAAACAAGGAAAAGAATGCAAAAATAAACAATTCTCGCCTGTCCAGTGCAGTTTATTCCGAAATCTTTTATGCAGTGCAACATCTTGGCGGCATTTGTCACCGTCAAAGAAGACAGCTTCCTCCCGGCAGCCTCCGCCCTCAGCCACGGGAGGACATGAAAATGTTGAGGAGATATTCTCGCCTTTCCCGGCCCTGTCAGACACTGTTTAGGTTTGCTCGAGGCGGACCCGTGAGTGTAATGCGCTACGATTGCACAAAGAGTGTGAATTTTTTTGCTTTGGGCGACTAAAGGGGTATCGAATATCATCGAATTTGATATACCAAGATTCCACATATAGTTAAAAAAAATAGCGATGGGGAATCGAATGTCAGTGTTGTGCACAACACTGTACAAAAGATGGTCAAAAAAAAAAGTTAAAGAGTTAAAAAAAAGAGCGAATACACTTTAATTACACTGTGATTGTGAAAAAAAAATGTAAATAAAGGGCACTAGATGTCTCCGTGAAAATTTGCAATGTAATTAGTTCGCAATGTCACATAGATATTCTTCCTTTTCTTATCCTTTAATTATAGTTCATTAGATTTCAAGCCTCTCGGCTGCACATATCACTGAGCCGCAGTTCAACTGTACGCAAACATCAGGAATACTTTAATCCCAAAGATAGGGATTCGACTGTGTGTGTACATGTACTTAAAGAATACACACACCTCAACGTATTTTTTTGGATGTAGGATTTTCATGTTTATTTTACGAAAAGAGACTCAAATGGGTATTTGGTAAAATAAATGTCATCGAAATCCATACTTTAGAATCAGAGTTTAATGTATTTACATGTGTCGACAGTTTCTTTTAGGACAAGTCCATGTAGTTCAGTGGCCTGACTCAGTTACTGCCTCAAACTACCAAAATGCAGTGACTGTCGAAATAATCAGTGTGTAAAGATTGCTTTTTATTATAACAAATGACAGTGCAGTGATTATGTCGTGTACGCAACTTATAAGACAGTAATGGTTTTCTTGTTATTGCCACGTCCTGCAACAAACTTTAAGAGATGAATATTATAGAAATTTGGAACATCCACTGCCTTCGTGGACGAAGTAATGAACTTAAATTATTTTCTGTCTACGGAATTTAATAATAAGAATAATTATTTATTATTATTTTTATAATAATAATAATAATAATACAACACTGAATGATTTGACCTATAAAGTTATTCAGTATTCATATTAATTAAAATGGATATACACACAAGTTTAAACTCATAAACTAAAACCAATCCTCAAAAATAATATAGACAATCATATTAGGAAACATACAAGTAAGCATATACTAACACATTTTTACCTTGTGTGTTATCAACGTAAGTATTAATTTCAATGTTTGTTGTACCAGGCCGTAAGTCAAGTCTCTAGTTAAGGAGCATCCAGACAATCAATTACCCGTATTTTCCCAAGAAAAGTACAGTATTTACATAGTTTAACCGGCAGTATAAGAATGATAAGAAAGAGTGCAAAGAGCGACTCATAACAACAGGTTTACACCTTAGATATGAAAAGAGAATATGAATGAGAGCAGCTTGAGTGAGCGTCTGACTCATGAACTGGGTGGTCAAGTACAACGTCACCTCGGCTGATGGGGAGGGGGCCGCATCTCTCACGCTACTGGTTGAATAAACAGCTATATCCTGAATTGCCAATTTGTTGGTCGAGAGGGCATGCCAATGGGTGTGTGATGAATGTCGAGTAAATTGTAATGTACTCGGCACACGCGACGTTGTGCGATTACATGTTTGTTTCTTAGGTTTAAAGCTTACGGACTATACGGGGGCAATTAAAGCTGCATTTCACACGTACACAACAAGTAAAAAACACTTTAAATCATTAAAAAGGGGTATAACAATAATCTCTGTATATTTTCCGAGAGATACATACCTCTGTATATACATGCCATCGTGTTTGTGTGAATGGTTTTTACTTCGTGGGTAACTCTTATATTTATGAGCTATGTCTGTGTGTGTGGATTTTATTTTATTTCATAGAACGCACAATATAACTTTCATCTCCGAGCTATGTAAATTATGAAACTTGATTCCTTCACAAAGTAATATTTACGTTGCAGGATACTGCGAGGTTGAGCGAAACACCAACACACACATTATAGAGGAAGGCAGCAGTATGAGGGTAAGTCATTCTCCAACCCTTCGTCATTCATCAATATCTTTCCACATAGTTTCATGAAATATTTTCCTTTCTTTGCATCTCGAGAAGCCAGAATTGTTGCTAACATTCACCTTTGTTTGAAGACAATAAATATAGGCGTATCTCAAATGGCAGACTCATGATTGTAATGCGCTAAGCTTGCATAAAGAGTGTGATTGTTTTTTTGTTTTGGGCGGCTGAAGGGTTATTGAATGACATCGAGTTTGATACGCAAGGTTCCTGCTTCCTAATTTACTTAATATTTGCATTTACCGTTCCAGCTGTACAAAGAGGGTGACGAGGATTGCTCAGAGCTGTGCTTCTGCGAGCTTCACGAGAAGACAAAATGCAAGGTTAGCACCGCTTCCGAAGTTTAAATAACTCCTTTTGATCCGCTTAGCAACATTTGTCACTTGCCTGTCCTGCACATCGCCCACATTTTGTATGCAGTTGTTCGTATCCCTTGAGCATTTGTCAATTAATTATGAAGGTGGTGAACAGCCTCCAGTCACACTTATTCAGATGGCGTCTACATTATTATTACTATTACTATTGTAGTCATGGGAGAAGCGCTAAATCCGTAAGGGTCATACAGCAGAGAATGGGAGTCGGCGAGGTTCGATGAATGGAGGGGGAGATCAGAGCCTATCCATCTGATCATGAACCCTTCGCTGTTCTCGAGGTGGCTCCCTCGAGGGAGGTTCCCACAGTGCCACAGTTCAGGTCATTTATCTTCTACTCTTCCCCGTCCTGCTCGCTGCCTGGGTCTCAGCCTCCTCCTGCTCTCCACATTGTTCTCTCATTCCCTCTTTTTTCATCTAGTCCTTTTTTCACTCTTCCATTGAATGCCTATTTTCCTTCTTGCTTCCACCTAGTTTCCTTTTTTTTCTTTCTTCCACCTTGCTCCCTCCCTCCCTCTTACTTTCATATTGTTCTCTTGTACTTCCTTCCTTCTCCGCTATGCTGATCGCTCATGTCTGTTGCATAAGTTACAGGATTAAATCCACACAATCGTCTGAGTTTTAAGAAGTGACTCAGATAATCAGGCAGGAAGCAGACCGTTTCAGAAAGTTGGATCACCACACCTGATCCACCCAATGCAATAAACAACAATTATTTTATTTACGTGAAAGCGTAAGGGAGTAGGGAGTCATTCAACACCTGGGAAATGGAAGGCAGTCAGGTTCAATAATAATAATAAAAATAATAATAACAACAACAATAATAATCTTTATTTCTACAAGTAAATGTACAAGGTATACAAGCCTAGCTGACAATCACTGACATACTATATAGAAAGCACCTTGTTATGCAGAGAATTTCGGGCAATTTAAATAAATTTTGTCCTTAGGATGCGACCCACACCATTCGACTAACACCCAGGTACCTATTTTACTGCTAGATGAACAGGGACAGGAAGTTTAAGAAAACATGTACTAACGTTTCTACCCGTATCGGGGATCAAACCAAAAACATCAATGTGTGAGTTGAGTGCGCTAGCCATCGAGTAAATAGGAGACTCTGTAAGAGTAGATAGATGAAAGGGATGTCACTGAACATCATCTGTCTCCTATGATAGAAGCTGCTGTAATTTTATATGTTGTTATACATTTATAGATGTTTCAATGCGATAATAAATATTGCTATGTTATGATAAATGCTCGTATGTAATGATAGATACTGCTGTCTAATGACAGGTCCTACTGTGTGATGATTGGTGCTGCTATACTATGAAAGATGCTCCTATGTGAAGAAAGATGCTGCTATATGATGATAGATACTGCTATGTGATTACAGATGCTACCCTGTGATTCTAGATGCTGTAGCTGACTTCGTGACCTGACCTCCCTCACAGGTTCTCGAGTGTGTGATCAACCGACCCTGTGAGACGCACTACGCAGTGTACCACCACAATGCTCCTGCCTACCAGGCCTACCGCGGCAAGTGTGTCTGCTACTCCGGCAACTTCATCTGCCAGCGTCCCAGAGCAGGTGAGCTACCTCAGGAAACACACTATGAACCAGACATTGAAGAAGGAACCGCGGGAACACTAACAAAACAGGGAGTACATGTGTGTGTGTCGGGGAATGCCAGCTAGGAGTAACTTTTTTGGTTACTACCAGAGAAGACTTCTGCTCATTATGTGTGTGTATTCACCCATTTGTACTTACCTATTTGTGGTTGCAAGGGTCGATTCACAGTTCCTGGCCCTGCCCCATCGATGATTGCTTCTAGGTCTACTCTTTCCCTGCTTCAAGAGTTTTATCGTGTGTGTGTGTGTGTGTGTGTGTGTGTGTGTGTGTGTGTGTGTGTGTGTGTGTGTGTGTGTGTGTGTGTATGTGTGTGTGTGTGTGTGTGTGTGTGCGTGTGTGTGTGTGTGTGTGTGTGTGTGTGTGTGTGTATGCAAAACAACAACTGTGAAAGATTAGAGAAATTCCAAGCGTTTTCGTGACTACTCACATTATCAAGGAACATTGTTCTTTGATAATGTGAGAAGTCACGAAAGCGCTTGGAATTTCTCTAATCTTTCACAGTGGT